GCAGCCCCTTTGAGCTTGCTGACGCCCTTGATCAGCTCCTCAAGCTCCGAGGAATGTGAGTTAATGTCGGAAGGCATCTGCCCAAGTTGCAGCGGGCCCAAGTACTGGCAACAATGCAAAGAGAAGTCCGATGTCCTTTCAGGGGGGCAAAGAAAACTAACAAAACCGACCGACCCACAACTGGATCCACGACGTGAGACTGAAGACCTCCAGGCAAGCCGGGAACGTCACACGTGACGTTGCCAAGAGCGCCGACGCCACCGAAGGAAGGAGACAAAGCGGGGAAGACAGTGGACGGCAAGCATGAGGCAGCGGAGAGACAAGAAGACGCCCGAAGGGAGAGGGGGCAATATTGGGATTAAAAGAACTTTTTAGTACGCTCCTGTGACCCTTGCGCCATTCGGTCTACGTCGTGCAAAGGACGTAATGACAATGACATGTCTTCTGACGAAGACGCCTGGCAGCAATGGTTGGGGCACATCTCGTGCCGTGCACGTGCAGCTCCCACCAAAGTGCATTTGTATAGTTAGTGGTTCAGTTCTCTCGACACCGTCGACGCCTGAAGGGTTGTTCACTATCTGTCCCTAGTGCTGTCGGTCAATGTGTCATGCTGTCTATCGCAAGGTGCCTGGTAATCGAGGTCAAATTCTCGAAATACATTTTCCCCTATCGGAATCAACGACCCCTAGCCCGGGGTTGAATTGAGATCTGCGGTTGCAGACGACTCGCTGGATTCACCGTCGTATAAAGACATGTTCTAAACCGCCGCGAACGAACCAATCCACCCTCCACACAACCAGGTATTTGATACACCGGTCATCACGTAACACACCGTTGTTTAGAATGATGTGGTAAATCAACAGGTCTCACACAAGCGCGTGAAACCAATACTTTTGTGAACCACGAAGTGTACCAACAACGGCCGCTACACCACTTTCCCTGTCTGGTGCGCCAAGCGTCAATCAATGTCGCGCACGCGCAACACTCAAAGCAACGAGGATGTTGTGCGCACGTGGAACAAAAAACGAGGATGCGCGCGCGAAACATGTTTGAAGACAGGAAGCGACTGACGAAGACGGGAAGAGAAGGGTCACGATAAACATGGAGAACCAAGCGAAAGAGAGCTGTGACAATGTACAGTAACAGGAGCACGTGCTCGCACCTTGGAGACGGCCGTGGGGTTCTGAATTGGTTGATCGGTCCCCAGACCCCTCCCATGCGGGTCCACCTGGCGCAGTTTTTCACGCCAGATCCGTTTTTCCCCTGGGAGAGAGAGAAAGAGAGAGAGAGAGAGAGAGAGAGAGAAAGAGAGAGAGAGAGAGACGCCAGAGGCGTGCGTGCTCCTACGGGGCCACGGCCCCGGAGGCTGACAAAGGCCAAGAGCATTCCCGAACCAACGAACTCAAACCTGCTCGCCCTTCCTGCCAACCGGAACCAGTGCTGGGCCACCTCAGACCCCCCGACGGCACCAACTTGCACCTCTTCAACAGATGATCCTGCAATCGCCGAGGCAGAGGGCCGGGAAGAAGCACACACGCGCTTGCACGACCACGCAGACACATGCGCACATGTCGCTGGCACACGTGTGCGCAGATGCAGCCCCAGCCAGCGCGGCCAAGGCCGTCGGCGATTCGCCAGCGGGGCGCACCTGATGACATTGGCCGGCGTTCGGGACTCGTGAGGGGTGCTCTGCATGCCGTGGGGTCCTCGTTTGGAAATCCTGGGGGCACCGTGGGCCAGGGGCACTTCTGGCAAGACCTGTGTGCGGATGACTCCGAACTGGCTGTTGCTCGCAGACATCACGGTGCTGACACGTGGCGGGTTCCGAAATCCTTGAAACTGGCAGATTGGCAGATCCGCGGCTGGTTTGGCTTCCGCCGCCTTCCGCCCTTCCCTGGGCAAACCCGCTGCAATTTTACTCCCGCCGACTTCCGCCGACCTTCCGCCGCTTTCGCCGAGGAAGACACAGATGTTACCTCCGTCGATCCTCGGAAGGGGGCAGTGCCTGAGCATTTCTGCTCCGACGGGAATCCGCTGGAATTCCTGGGGGCGCCTGCGGGGAGGAGGGGGAGGCGGTCATTTGCGCTGGAAGCTGCACCCACGCCTGGTGGACTGTTCGTGACAGGACTGGGTTGCAACAGGGTGGTTTGCTTAGTATGAGGCAGCGGGGGTCGCCCACGATGCTTGGACGACAAAACGGTAGGAGAGGAAAGAGACCGATGCTTAGAATCAGTGCAGGCTCCTCGACGGTTATGAGTCCGTCCTGGCTGGTGTCGATAAGAGTGAATAGCTGGTCGACGTCGCCAGAGCTCATGTCCATGGATGCCAACCTGCGCTTGAAACAATGAAGTCTGTGCCCCTGCCTCAAGTTCTCAGAAGAGGCTCGAGCTGGGCATCCTCCGTGTGGAGTGAACATTAGAGTCTGCTGCGGTCCTAGGAAACAGAAGCTTGGAGGGCAAATTCTGATCGGTGTATCGTAGCAAGGTGTTGATGGCCGCACATCTGATCGCGGTATGCGTCCCGCACACAAGACGCTAGCGGCGACCCGGGGATGGCGACAGTTGCGCACATGCATGCAGAGCCGCGCTCGCATGCAGCAGCTGACGTGCAAGTAGTGATGTGCCTACATGTGCGCGCAGACGGGCTGACTGTGTGACCGAAACTACAAATCAATAGAAACTGGAGAATCATAAACTTTCGGACGTCGGCGAGGAGCTCCGACAACTTACGATTCTGTAGCTTTTGCTGAAACAAATATTGGGGCGACAAGACATGGTCCCCTGCGCAGTGCCTGAAAAACCAACCTGACGGAAGAAAACGGCGGCGGCGGATGGACGGTCGGGCACGGCACGGGCAGGACCCAGATGGCGCCTCCGCGAATCGTGACGCTACCAGTCGGGGAGGCGCAAACCTCAGGTTCGGGGGACTCGGAATGGCCTGGGGCCGTCAAGAAAAGTGGCGAGACCCAATCAAACATTTGACGCGACCTCTGGCTGACAACGCCCCACGAAAACAGGACCGTTAGAATCCGGGGTGGTATCGTCAAAAAGCGCCAGCGAGCCCGAGCTCCGGCGAACTCGAGTCTTACGCTTCTCCGAACCAGCCCCCCCGCTGCCCCTATGCCCCGCCTCGAACATGGCTAGGACGAGGATAAATTCGTTCCAGAACGTTCCAGAACGCTCTCACAGCGTGGCGGAACGCTCTGAGAAGGCCCTGGCGCCCAATACATCCTCCAGAACCGCCGGATCTCAGAAATTCTCGATTTATCCGCACCCCATGTTCTTATCGTTCTAGCTTCGTCTGGCCTTCCCCCCAGGTAGCGGCCTTTCTCGCGAGAGGGCAACAAGAACAGGCTCAAGAGGAGGAGAAAGGGGGAAAGGAGGGGGGGAAAAGGAGGAGGGGAAGGAAGAGGAGGAGGAGGAGGAGGAGGAGGAGGAGGAGGAAGAGGAGGAGGAGGAGGAGGAGGCGGAGGAGGAGGAGGAGGAGTTTCTCTCTCTCTCTCTCTCTCTCTCTATCTCTCTCTGTCTGTCTGTCTGTCTTTCTTTTTCTCTCTCTCTCTCTCTCTCTCTTCCCATTCAGGCCAAGTCCCGCCAGCAGCTCCAAGGGAAATCGGCCCTGGGCTGGGGGAAAATATCGAAACATTCCCACCCCTCTCTGGCGATTCTGCAAGCCTGCGAGGGCTGATGCCCGCAGACTGGGGCCAGCGCGGGGGTGCGGCACTACGCCGAAAGGCCAATCACTCCGCGAGGGCCCAGCTCAACACGAACGAGTCGGTATCATCCGTGATCCACACCTCGCAACAGACCTCCATGCGGTCAGTGATGATGGGGTTGCCACTCATTGCTGCGAGAGGAAAGGGTCATTCACATCCGAAGCCATAAGACTCAATTACGTACCATGAATCATCTGAACACTTGTGCCACCCATGGTGGCGTGCATATGCAGTAATTAAGTGTGCTCAGCGTCCTTTACGTGCCCGCACTCGACCTCCAAGCTGATGCACCATGTCGCCCCGTGGAGCTCGTCCTCCAAGTAGCTGTCCGCCCAGGCTCCCGATCTCCTCTGCGAAGAGCGTCTCCGCAAGAACGAGCATCCCCAGTCACCTTGGGCTTCCCCGTCGGGCTGTAGCTGTGCAGTTCGTGCTCCTTCGTCTTAACCGCCGTCAGGAGCATGTCGTTCACCTCCTGCTCCTGGACAGCGGCACCTCGCCTTGGAAACTGTACATAATGCGGACCTTCCTCTCCTTCCCTGGCTTGTCGAAAGGTCGGGAGCGCCATCAGTTATATAATCCACTTCTCCGCATCTTGAGGGCTGCCGCACTCCGACATGGCCTGCAACCGTTTGAGCGTCGCTAGGACGCCCGAGAGGCGGAGGGAGGCGTCCTTGTGCTCGAAGCTCGAGATAACGTCGCGAACCCCGAGCAGGTAATGGAACGCTGGTGTGCCTATGTCTGCCCCTTCCTCCGCCCCCTTGCGTTTCTGCACGAACGCCTGGAAGCTGTCGCTGATGGCCTTCACTATCGGCGACTTCTTGGCGATGGGGATCGTTATGTGATATTCGTTCTCGAGTGTGCGTATGCGTCCTTCCAACTGAGTGCGCAACGCCTGCATGGTGACTCGTGTGCCGTCCGCCTCGTCCTCCTCGTCCTCTTCCACCCCCTGCTGCCTCATCTTCTTGGGCGTTCCTCCTCCTGTTCCACCGACGCTTGATCTCGATCTGGCTGCTCGCGCACCAGGGCGTGCAGTCCACGATCTCGCTCCCTCCTCTCCCATCGTACTTCAACTCTCTGACAAAGAAGAAGGGTGAAAGTAGTGGTTGTATGTGTTCTTTGCAATGCTTGAAGAGATCGGCTACAGTGTCGGAGACCTCGAGGCACAAGGGGCACTTGAGGCTGGAAGGCTCCTCAAGAGGTGTGGAATATCTTGCTCGGGATTTCGGACAGTACCCACGCGCCATGCTTGCTGCAATATGTTCCGTGCTATTTCTTTGTCTCTGAACGTACTCTCGCATATCAAGCAATGATTCGTCATCGTAAGTACTTTGGCAATGTGCGATTTGCCATGATTGCCTCCCGATGTTGCTAATTTGTGTGCGTATAATTGCTTTTTGTCGGCCATGCAGTGCCGCATGTCGTGCCATCTGTCTTAGTTTCCATGCATCTGTACTCGCCCCCTTCATGGCCAGCCTGAGCTGCCTCTTCGGTGGCGGCGGTGAGAAGAAATAACCTTGCGCGGAGCTCGTCATCGTCGAGCCTCACAAACTCGTAGCAATCCGTGAAAAGAAAATCGTAAGTACTCCGATATTCGTGAGGGCTGGCTCCCGACTCCGTGGCCGTGAGCGCGTCGAGATCTTGCTGGGCCTGACGAGCCCACGGATTAGCTCGTTCTGAAACTCGCCCATCAACAAAGACTGGTTCATCAAACTTGGTCGGTCCAAAAACTACAGACAAGAATTGTGAATTGTCCTCTTTCCTCTCCACGAGTTTCTACACCCACTTGATACGACGGATTCTGAGCTCCGGGAAAAGCGGGGCAAACCTGAACTTCCTCATCACCTCCTTATGCTTAGTAGTCCTGACGTGTTTGCCTCCCTCCTCAAACCTCGCTGTCCCATGGAGTATCGCCCGACACTTCTTTAGAATGAAACTCTGGAGATGTCGAAGATCTGCTTCTCTAGGAGGAGGAGGAAGAGGAGGAGGAGGAGGAGGAGGAGGAGGAGGAGGAGGAGGAGGAGGAAAGGAGGAGGAGGAGGAGGAGGAAGAGGAGGAGGGGGAGGAGGGGAAAGGGATGGAGACTGGGTGGGAGGGCGGAAAGGACAGGACGGGACAGCATCGGGCCGCTGTGTCGGACCGGATCGGAGCGCGCATCGGATCGTGCCGCCACGGCGCAGTCTCGAAATCCACCGACCCAGTCGGCGTGTGTGAGAAGCCCTTCGACGCGAGGCCAGCCCAACCCAAGCTGAAGTACGCCAGCCTCCTCTGAGGCTCCTCCTCCTCCTCGTCATCCTCCTGTTCCTCTTCTCCTCCTCCTTTTCCTCCTCCTCCTGCTTTTCCTCCTCCTCACCCGCCTCCGCCTCCGCCTCCGCCTCCTCCTCCTCCTCCTCCTCCTCCTGCTGTTCCTCCTCGTACTTTTCTTCTTCGTCCTCCTCCTCCTCGTCCTCCTCCTCCTCCGCTTCCTCCTCCTCTTTTCACCGCCCGCCTCATGTCCCGTGCTTGTGGCAGGGTCACCAGCTCGTCGTTGTCGCTGTCGTCGTGGTCGTCGTCGTGGTCGTTTTCCTTCTGGGTCGGCGGCACCGGCCGTAAGGCCTTGAGAAGATCGACTCGGCCGCACTAGGATACTGAACTACGGCAGGTTCGTGTCGTGCCGACCCCAGCGTTGGTTTCTGACACCGCGTGGATCGTTCAACCTTAAACGATCGACCGTTCCCGCAACGTCCAATCGTTCAACATCGACCGATTCTGGGTCGCCGCCGGCGTTCAACCTTGAACGCCCGCGCTGGGGTCGCCGCTGGTCGACACGACACGAACCTGCCGTAGGCCGTGCAAACATCGGGCCTCATCGGATCGCCCGCAAATCCACATCGAATCGGATCGAACCGGGACAAATCGATGTAGGATCGGACTTTGGATCAACATGTTGGGAAGGGCACGTGTGCCCGAGACGCGAGGGGGCTGGCTTTTTTGGGGCCGCCCCGGCGGCCATGTTCTGACCCACTCGACCTCCATGATGTCGCGGAATTCCTCCGCCCAGAGACGCAATGAACGCCTGCATCGCAGACCGACGTGCTGGATGTGACCAACTTGGACGGGTTATTTCCTGCGCCATTTTTCGTGGGGGTCATGCTGAAGCTGACCCGACACCGAATTGGAGCACAGGACGCAACCTGTTGTCCCCTCGCTCTTGATAACAACCTCGACGGCATCCAATGGAAACTGTCTCGTCTGTATGGTTCGCTGGATTCGGAGAGGGGGACTGGTACTACCATTGCGCCGGGGACCGACATTTCCTGGCCGCGGGGGGCAGAGACCGGAAGGAAGAGGAGGAGGAGGAGGAGACAAAGGACGAACTAGAATGGCGGGGTTTTGGAAGGTGTACGAAAAACACCATGGCGGCAATCATATGTTGACTGCAGTGTTTAACTTCTCCGTACGTGATACAAATACGCGCCAGCGCTGAAGCCAAACGGCAGTTGAGAATTTCATTTGGATCGCGATTGCGCGGGCGATGAAACAGCTCTGGCAGAAAAGAAAAACAAAGGAAGGAAGGAACCATGAGTGTCCAACCCCAGCGCCTTCTAGACTCAGCAGGGATGCCCCGTCGCTGTCGGACATGGGGGGCAAGCGACGCGGCGGGAAGCGGGGTAGCTCGCTCGTGCTCTCAGGAACGGCACTGGAGGAGCTCGCGCGCGTGAACGATGGTGGTGTGAGTTTCCCCATGCCGCATCTGTGTATGCCGGTGACATCGGGCCGCGGACGTGATGTCTGAAAGCCTGTCCTAAGACGTAAGCAAAGTGATGGCCCCGGGGGTCACGTGGAGGGCGAGATGGAAGTGCGTGGGAGGGGGTGATGGATGGAGATAGACCGAGGGATGTGTGCACTTTTTGGCACGATCGCCTGGGGGCCCACCGCATTCGCGAGTTGCTGGGGCCGCTGCGTCCACGACCGAAGGCGACCTCCTCGCTGGGTGCGCCGGGGGCCTCTGCTTCTTGGGCCTCGGCACTGCCCGCGGGCGAGGGCTAGCCGCGCTCGCCGGCGGCGGCCGCGCGGAGGGCCGCGCCAGCGCGCCGGCGCTTGACCTTCTTTCCTGCCGTGCGTATATTTTTGTCCTTCTCGGGCAAGTCGGCGCCGGTCTTTGGCGCAGGCCCTCTTGTCCCTGTCGTCATCCTTGCCCTTGCCTTCGCCCGTGCTCGACGCGATGGCGGCGCGCCCGCGAGAGCCGATGGGCGCCGCGGCCCCCGTCCTCGCCCAGGACGGGCGCGGTGCCAAAAGGCGGGGTAGCGTCGGTCCCCAGCTCGAGCGGCGAGCGGCGCTGTCCTCATCGAATTCAGCCTCGCGGCCCCGGGGCAGAGATGGGGGCCTGGGCGCGGCCGGTGGCAAGGGGCGCCGACGAGGAGGAGTGCGCGGCGCGCGCTCACCCCGAAGCGCTGGGGAGCGCGATGGCCGCGGCGTCGGCCGCGCTGGCCTCCTGTAGCCTAGCGGGTCGCTCGTGGAAGAAGGCGCGCCAAGGGCTGACTCGTCGAAGGCCGAGAGAGGGTCTCGCCCAAACCTTGTCCGCGAGCCGCCATCGGCGAGCGCGCTCAGCCCTTCGTTGCGCGGGCCACGAGGCCCCATGTGGCGCATGCCCTGGCGGCGCGGCTCCACCGCCTGCGCTGAGGACACGCTCCCGCGCAACTCCACCTCGGGTGACTTATTGTCAGGTTCTGGTGTAGGTCCAGGTCGGCAGAGCCTGATGGTGATCAGTATCGTGCCAACTGCTGGGTTCGTGACCAGTTCAACCGTGTGATCCAGCTTGATTGTCATGTCCATTGCAGCACGGGGTATGTTGTGCCTCCGCTGACGCATTAACTCTCGAGCACGATTGTACTTCTCCCCTTGATCAATGCGGCTAGGCGGCATCATGATCCAAACCCAGCGTGCTCCTGTCGGGTGACTTCACTGAGGCGGAGAAATTGGGAGAAACTATGTTGGCAGGATGGGGCGTTCGCATCAGTCATCCGCGCAGCCCAAGGCTCTAGTACCTGCGGGCGCAAGCTCTATCACTAGAGCGCGTCTGTGGTACGACGTTGGGCCCCGGAAAGGAAAGCTGGGGCGCGCCCTGAAGGGCCTCGTCTCATTGAGGGCCCAAGGTCGACCGCTGCTCGACCTCCTGGCTGGAGGGGGCGAGGGGGCAGCTGTCGGCGTCGCGCCCGCCGTCTCCGCTTCCGTCTCGCCGGCGCGGGCGCGTGGCTGAGCGCCGCGGTCGGGCGCGCCGCCCGCTTCTTGCGCAAACCTCTCGAAGTCGTCGAAGACCGTCGCAGGGTGCCCGCCCAGGGCCGTCTGCAGCAGGGCGCGGGCCGTGCCCGCGGGCCAGTGGATTCGGGCGTCGCCGCCGCAGATCAAGATCAGCTCGCGTCGGTCCATGTCCAGGATCGCGCGCGTGGGCCCCGTGCTACGCGGACCGAGGAGGCTGGGCAGGTCGCCGCCCCATCCACTGACACTGGGTTCTGCGATGCTGTGAGTGGTAGCTCTGCCCTGCTCATCCGCGACGGCAATGGGGGCGCTCGCCTGATGGGTGCGCTCTTGGGCCCCGTTGCCAACCCCCTGGGTGCCCGCGGGCTCGCTCATGAGGAGCCGCCGCGACCGGTGCCCTGCCGCCGCGATTCGGCGGCGCTACTGGCGCGCAAGCGTCTCACCCATGAGGTTGGCCCACGCGCCTGGGTCCACGATGGCGCTGAGCTCGCTTGAAGTGAGCTGGGCGCGACCGCCATGCGCCCGCTCGGCGAGCTCAATTGGGGGCCGGTGGCCGGCCGCCAAGGGCGCGCGTCGGGCCCGCCGCTCTGCGGTGAGCCTCGGGGCGACTGCCGCCCCCGGGTGGATGCAAGAAAGCTGGATGTAATTTCGCCGATTGGTGCGTCGCGTGGCGCGATCGCGTGAGATTGGCGCTCGGGTCTGGTCGCCGCGAAGTGTTTCTTCAGCTGCTCGCGCGGCGAGGGCCAAGCTGGCGTGGCGGCTTAAACAGATGCCGCGCATCTCACCGGCGTCAACTTCCACCCCGGTGGATTCTGACTCTGCGCGTAGATCAGGCGGTTGTGAGGGTGGCGCAACGGCAGGGGGCCCAGCTATCGCCATGTCGATCATCTGCTGAGGCCGCTCACGTCGGTGCGCGCGTCGTTGTTCCACCTGGGCGCCGACGTCGGCCTCCAATCTGGCCGCGGAAGGCAGCCGGGTCGATATCTCACAGGCTAGGTCGCGTGCGACGTCGGCCCGGCCCTGGTAGCCGCGGTCGGCACTTCTGCAAAGCACGCACGTCCGCGGACATCCGCGGTCGGCACTTCTGCCAGGGCCCCATGTCCGCGGCAACGTCTGTCCGGCAGGGCAGCCCGCGCTAGCTGGCCCTGCCGTGGGCGCGCGAGCTGGCCGAGACCACTGATGCGAGGGCTGGTCGTCGGGGATCGCGAGCTGGCTCGCGGGTAGGGCGGCGGCGCCCGCGCCGCGCCGCTGGTCGACGAGGTTTATCTCGCGAGGGCCCTGCAGAACAGCAATCCTCCGTGGTGCTCTGGCGGAAGGATGAGCTTCATCAGCGGCTGCTGCCGTTCCGCGGCAGCCGTGGCCGCGTCGGGGAACGGCGGCAGCGCTGGCGTTTGTCATGGCCCTGAAGATGGCGATGCCCCAGGGAACAACTGAGGTGGCGGCGGGGCCGCTGGCGCATCGGCGCGCGCGCGGCTCTGGACCGCGGCGAGCGAGGCGGCTGACCACGAGACGTGGACCAGGCAGCTGCCAGGAGCCGTCAGCGGATGGCTGCACTGACGCGGCGCCGTGGCTGGGCCGCGGCTGAAGAGGGCCCTCAGCGAACATGCAGGCAACTCCAAAGATACCGGCCAGGGGGCTGGGGTCCGGGTGCCATCCGTGGGCCCGGAGTCTGCGCGTCCTCCGAACTGCCCGCCGCTGCCGCTGCCCTGTGGCGATGACGCGATGCCTTGCGGGCACCCAGCGCGGAAATGGTTGTCGCTCCCGCAGATGCTACGCGTCGCGGTGGTCCCGTCGTAGCCTTGGGGGTCGCGGCGCCTCCGATTTCCTGTGACTGGCGAGCAGTTGCCTTTGCCCTGTCCTTTTCCACCTACGAAGACCTGATCTACTCGAGTGTCCGAGAGCTCCGTGGGTAATGCGTACTTCTGGGCACCATTGCCTTTGCACCTTTGCAGTTCTGCCTTTTACTGGAAAAGGCGCTGCTGCTCTTATTAAGGCATATACGCGCGTTACGAGTTGGACGTTGCATGCGCCTCCGCCGCTGACGTGTAGCAGTATCTGCCAGAACAACTGAGCACCCATTTGGGCAGGTCCGAGGCCTTGGAGCTCTGGCGTTGGTTAGTTGACCTCTCCGCCAGGGTCCGAGCTGGCGTCTGAGGAAGCTCCGCTGACGCAGTCGGCCTGTTCTGCGGGCGCCCGCGCGGCGGCACCGGGGAGCTCGGCGGCGCTGACAACCCAGGTCGAGGCCCTGAATGAGCCAAGGGTCCGTTGCATGTGCGTCGTTGCTGTTGTCGTTGGTCATGCCCGCGGAACCCCCGAATGATGGCGGCGCGCGCGCGAAGAGCGCTGGCGATGTAGTTTGGTGCTTGCTCCACGATGTGCCCCACGCGCCTGAGCATGGTCGTGGGACTGTTGGCCTCGGCCTCCGTGGCTGAGTATCGGTTGCCGCAAGGCTGGGGCAGCGTCATGAGTTGGCAAACTGTGACGCCGGCCGCTCGGAGGAGCAGCCAGCTGTAGCCCCCCCAAGACATCGCAGCTCCACCGCTGCGCGTAACACGACAGTGCAGCGTGAGGAACCGCGCGAGCAGCGCGTCAGCGGTTTCGTTGCGGCGCCCCGAGAACTCGAAGAGTTCGCGGGCCGACTGGAGGCGCGACTCCTCACCTAGTAAACCGAGCTGCGTGGCGAGGTTCGCGACGAAGTAGACCGCGGAGCCCTATGGCTGGCCGTTGACCCAGCCTCCCTCCGTCATCACCGCGAAGCTCATGGAGCGCGTTAGCTCGCGAGCGGCCCCACCGAGGTTAAGGATGACGGCGGCGCATTGGCTAGCGAGCAAGTTCTGTACTCAGTGGCGGAAACGTTCTATTACGAAGGTATTCGTAATAATCATGATGCGGAAATATAAGAACAAACATGTCAGTCAGCCTGGTAATATGCATCGTCCTTATATCCTGGCTACACGTCGTGGCAACACTATCAACACGATTGATGAGTATGATGCTAATGATGATGGTGATTATGACGATGATGAGGATGAGGATGATGACGATGGGGATACCAATAATCACAACAATAATAAGACTAGTAAGAATTCAATCAACGAAAACAGCAACATACCAAACATTAATATATGAAGAAAGAAGAAGAGGCCACTATATCCTGAGAGATACATCATAGCCCTGGCCACGAGATCCACCCTTTTTGCGCCGCCCCCACGAAAGGCAAGCCTTCTGAGGAGGCAGGGGGCCTTCTTGGAAGGCACGGGCCTTAAGGACCTTCTCGGGAGGGATCGGGGTGTTCCCAAGTCGGCTTCTCAGAAGCCGGGGGGGCTTCTGAGAAGCCCGCTCAGGAAGGGGGATCGGGATGTCGTTTGGGGCATTCAGAATGCTCTGCTGCGTCCTGGGGTACCGGGGTGTCAGGAGGAGCTGCGCTGCTCTCGCAGGTGGCAGAAGAAACTCCTGTTAGGAGGCAACCGTTGGAAGTCTCCGCGGGAACACTGAAAGGTTATTAAACCGGATTTGAAGGCCACGCTGCAGGATTAGACACGATGAAACCCAGTACTAAGCCGGACAAATTTGGAGAAGGCCAGATTCGGCTGCACTGCTCCAGACATGGACGATTTGCGACCACGGATATTTCTACCACCATCGATGTGGCATTGAACCCCCCAGGAGTTGCGGCCGAGCTCCTGGATGCCCTGGGAGAGGTTCCTTGGAAGTCCCTGGAGCCTCTTGGATGCACTCTGTAGCACTGAGGGGCGCGCGCGAGAAGAGCAGAGGAACAAACAACGGCTTACACATAATTTCTTCGAGGTCCGCGCGGATGTCCTCCCTGGAGGCCCACCACCGACTCCCTGGACCTCAGAGGTATTATGTTTATGCATGTTCTCCAGAAAACTGCAGAGGGAGACGACTCATGCCCGCATCCCCGGTGGCTGGACCCAGCGACGCGCAGATTAGAAGGGCGCACTCGGCTGGCGCCCTTACACGGCGGACGCCAGGACGCGGCGCATTGGGCAGTATTGCGAGCACGGCGCGACGGCCCTCGAGGAGGAGGAGGAGGAGGAGGAGGAGGAGGAGGAGGAGGAGGAGGAGGAGGAGAAGGGGGAGGGGGAGGGGGAGGAGGAGGGGGAGGGAAGGATCGGTGTTACCGTGGGGAGCGCCAAAAAAGGAACGACGATGCCTTTCGGACCGCGGCGAGCCTCGGCCACGCACGGGCTTCCCGACCTGGACCTGCGGAGCAGTCCGCAGATCAGAGCCCCTTCCCCTTCCCCTCCTCCTCCTGCTCCTCCTCCTCCTTTCAGCCTCTTGGCTGTATGCCCTGCGCCGTCTCCGACAGAACGTCCCTCGGCTGAGCGCTTCTGTCGTGCGCCTTCGCAGGGTGGATGCCAGATCCCCCCCGACCTAGGGCTTTCCCGAAGCAGGCCGCACTGTGTCAGAGAGCCGTCTGAAAGGGGCGTCCAAGCGTCAAACCACTTTCTCTAGAACGAGTAGAAGCTTCGACGTCGAATGGCGTTCTCGGCGTTGTCGTCGTCCACACCGTCGTCGCCGATAACATCGCCATAGTCGTCACAGCCCACTCGTCGTCGCCATCACCATCACCATCACCATCACCATCACCATCACCATCACCATCACCATCACCATCACCATCACCATTACCATTACCATCACCATCCGAACTCTGATAATCGTTCGCGTCGCTATCACACCATCATCAACACGCACTGCCATGTACCGCACCAGCAACAACAGTGCTGGATCCCTTCGTGGCATATCTCTCACAAACAACTGCAATCTCACCTTGTATGTGCCTCTCGGTAGACTATGCATGCCCCCCTCGGTCCTGTAAAGCAACAGTTCCGTCGTGAGAGGTGTCGGCCTCGGATGCAAGAGTGAGTGCGGGGATCGAAGGCAACGTGGAACGCAAGTGAGCACGAAACAGACATGGATATGGGTGTATGTGAATATATGTGTACATATGTGCACACATAGCGAGATGGAAGCATTTAAACATCAAGTCGCTAGGTGGCCGGACAATGAACATGGTGGCAGTGCCAGCACCCTGATTTGCGACCCTCACCTGTGCATGAGCCGCCCACTGCCCGCCCGCGGTGCGCTGCACTGTTCAAACAAGCGCTGAACCTACGAACTGCTTCTCTGCGCTTCCAGCACAGCAGGTGGTGACGACCAAGCTGTGCACGACGGCGGCCCGTCCAGCCTGCTGTGAAGAACGCTGCGCCCCATGTGGCTTCACTGTGGTCCGCGAGCCCCCCGCGCCGCACGCAGAAACTCGCGAACGTGCAGGAGCCTCGAGAGTCATACCCCCCACAAGTTGGGGGGGGCGGTGGCCAATCCCTCCCCGTTGAACTTGATGGCGCCCAGGGCGCTCCCCCCCGCTGCATTTTCCGCAGCTGCGAAAAATGTTTGGAATCCTCCTACCTACGCGTGGGCGGAACACTTCCTTCCCGGGGCGTCGGCCTTCGATGCTCGGGGCCGCGTCGGGCCGTCCTCGGGTCTGGTCGGGGCCACGCGAGGCTATCCTGAAGCCGTCCCGATTCATGCGCTGAGAGATCTGGTTGCAATCAGACCAGGGGGCTTCCCCTTGCGCTGACCCTGACCTCCGCAAGGTGCCCAACACCCCAATGGGCCTCCCAAGCCATCGGGGAATCAAACTTCTCCTCTCGGTTCCTGCTGGCACGCCCGTGTCTGATTGGGAAGTTGGAACACACGCGCGCGCACACACACACGCACACGCACACGCACACGCACACGCACACGCACACGCACACGCACACGCACACGCACACGCACACGCACACGCACACGCACACGCACACGCACACGCACACGCACACGCACACGCACACGCACACGCACACGCACACGCACACGCACACGCACACGCACACGCACACGCACACGCACACGCACACGCACACGCACACGCACACGCACACGCACACGCACACGCACACGCACACGCACACGCACACGCACACGCACACGCACACGCACACGCACACACACACACACACACACACGCGCGCACACGCACACACGCACACCCACCCACACACGGCCGCATTCACGTGCGAAGGCCAAAACCATAATACACGTTCGGAGGGCTGGCGAACAAGCGTATTCGTATGTTACCTATCTAACCGATGCCGCTATGTTTCTATGCCTGCCACGAACGCGCTATGGGCCAGCTAACAAACTTCCTCTTAACTGCGCGCGGAGTGGCGCGCGCGCTCATCCGCCGCCGCGGCTATGCGTTGCTCGCTTGAACTCCCGAGGCCTCGATCATTGATTCAACCGCCGCCAGCCCTTCGCCCGCCCCCGCTTGGGGCAATGGCGCTAAGAGTGCGCGACGCCCCGTTTGTGGCAATGGTGCTGGTGCAATGCCAGGTCTCACGCTCGCTCCCCCCCCCGGCCCGTCCCCGTGAGCCTTCATAATTTTATGGCCCCAGACGGGGTGGCGTGTCTGCGCCGATAAATCCGTTGCGACTGCGCCTGCGCCTGCGATTGCGGGGCGACGCATGCACCTTCTTATTTGGCGTGCCGGAAGTGCCTGCGCTTTACCACGGGCGGCGCCTACGCTGATAAAAAACCAATGCCCGCGACGCCCGCGGCAACGGCAGGGTAGCGATGATATGCGTGCGCCATGTTATTCGACGTGCCCGCGGCGCCAGCGCCTGGCCGCGCGCGGCGCCTGCGCGGGGAAGTCGGCTGCCCTCGCGGCGCCTGCGCTGGCAACTCGACGGCGAGGCGATGCCTGCGCCTGTTCATTTGACGCGCCGAATCACGCGCAGCGCCTGCGCCGATGAAGCGACAACGCCCGCGGCGCGCGCGATGCAGCCGCCGTGGCGGGGCAACGCCTGCGCCTGATTATCTGGCGTGCCTGCCGCGCCTGCGGCGCGTCGCGCGCCGTGAGCCCTGGGCACTGGCGGGGGCGGAACGGAACGGTAGTTGGACCGCGCGTCCTCGGCGCGACGTCGCTGGTCTTGCGCGGGGCAGGCAGCAACCACCCGGGCGCGGAAAGCATCGGAACCCGCGTTCGGGAGGTCGACCCTGCGTTTTTCCACTGGCGCGCCCACCTCACGCGAAAGGTCGCGGAGCCTGGGCAAGGCGTTCCGCTTTCTGTTTTTGGCTGTAACCAAGTTCGGGCCAAAATGGCCGCGGACGGAATCGACGTGGACGCGAAGGCGGCGGCGACGGCGATGGCGACGGGGCAGCTCTAGCGGCCGCGATCACGATCATCTACATTGCAATCCATCACGCGGAGCGGCTCCCAGCGGCGCATCCCTGCTTCATCCGGATAGCAAGATGAACATGGAAACCGCCTGTACCATGCCTCACGAGAGCCACGGAATTCCTGGGTCTGCTGGCGCTGACATTCCGAGAAGCAAGTTTACTTCCGCAGACTTCCACTGGGCTTCCACCAGCGAAGACGACATCATATTATTTCCGCCGTCGTTCGCCAGCCTCCGCCGAAGGCGGGAGATCAACCCTTCGACTCCCGCTCTTCTCGAAGCGCCCCATGCGTGCATCCAGCTTCCGCCCGGGCCTGCTGCATAATGCCCATCTAAATGTCTCGTATAATCGAACGACCTCAGATCCCCAATCACCTCCTGGACCCATGCTCCCTCTGTCCCCCTTGATCCTCCTCTTCTGGAGGTCTCCGAGTCCCTTCCGACCCTGCGATCCGACGTCGCGAAATTAGCCTGGCTAAGGACCCACCCATATGCAATTGCGAGCACCGCGTAGTAGGCGTCGGCGACGGTGCCGGCGGAGGCGCAGGCGTAGATGCTGGGGGCGAAACTGGCGTCGGCACTGGCGAAGGCGCCAGTGTTGGCGACATTGGTGATAACGCGCGTGTGGGCTGAAATCGGCGCTGGCGCAGGCGCCAGCATTGGTGCCGTCGTCGGCGCGGGCATTGGTGATTGCGCCGATAGCTGGGCACTCAACTGGGGCGTTGCGGCCTGATGTCGGTGCTGCTGCAGGCTCCGGCGTTGGTGTCGGCGTAAGCGCTGGCGCTCGTGCCGGCGTAGGTGCTGATGTACGACAGCGTCGCGCACGGGGGCAGTGGTACTGCTCGTTTCCGCTGTATTGGACGTCGACGCGGTGCTCGACTCCGTTATGGTTGACGCCGTGGCAGCGCTCAATTCCACAATGGTGGGTGTCGAACTACTGCTGATCAGGAACAGCGAGACCACCACCCAGTGCCGGTCATGCGTGACGGTCTGGAAAAGCCAAGCCACTTAATCGCCCTATTCCGAAACAGGGATGCCGCCACGCAGTGGGATGATCTCGAAAAGCAAGACACCGTCAAAAATGCGGCCGTCGCGCTGCTGGAGCCCGTCGTGCTGCTGACAGGCGCACTGCCGCAGCCCGTCGCGAGGCACAGTGCCGCGATACTTGTTGGATGTTTGAACCGCAGATGCTGCCTGCTGGCGTGCAGTAGGGTTCACCGTCGCATGGCGGGCGCCGGCTGTGCTGGGCAGCACCGTGCCACCGGCGCCCGTCGTGCTGCTCAGAACCCGTTGAGCTTCACGACGTGATGCTGGCATCCGTCATGCCCCGCTGCAGGGTGTCGGGAACGCAGGGGCTGCGCTCAGCCATGCCGAGGTCCTGTTCACTTCGGAGTGATGGAGCCGTTCGCGCTCGCCGTCGAGGGTAGCGGTGAAACGACTCCGAACTCGGGCACTATTCCGCCGCGTCCGCGACGCGCCCGCGGCGGAAGCCGCGGCAAGATACAGAGACGGAATGTTCCCCGAAGCGGTCCCGCGGAAGGTCTCGGAGCTACTCGGCGCTCTCGTCCCCCCCTATGGGCAGCTCCCATCAGGGAGCCCCGCCTGGTGCCTCGACGCGCGCGAAGGGTGCGCAATTTGATGCGAAGGGGATGAGCGAGCAAAACAGCCGGTCAGCAAATGCCCACCCCCTGTGGAATGGCGCCTGCACAGGGCACTCGGCCGCAGGACGCTCCAAAGAGACGCGCGCGCGCCTTTAGCGTCGCGCCTTTAGCGTCCAAGAAGAGGACAACTGCGGGCGCCCCCGCCAGAGACATCTCCCACGCCCTGCTCCAACAAGCCTCCTCCAAACCCTCTTACTCAAAACCATTCCTCCTTCTTCTTGCGATGACAACGGCGGCGGCGACGGCGGAGCCTCGGCGAAGAAGGCCTTCATCTTCCGGGTGTGCATCTCCACCTGGCGCTCCTTCTGCCAAACCTCGGGCGGGTGGGGGGGGATAGAGGAAAGGGGCAGAGGAGGAGGAGAGGGAGCGTGGGCGAAGGAGGAGTATATAGGGGGAGGAGTGATGGAGGAGGTGGAGGAGGGAGGAATGGAGGGAGGGAGGGAGGATGAGGATCGGAGGACAACGGGGGGGTAGACAGGAAGGAGGGAGGGAACAGGGAGACGAGTGGGAGGAGGGAAGGAAGAGGGAGGAGGGAGGGAGGAGGCGGAAGAGCGAGGTAGAAACGAGAAGGGGAAGAGGAGGAGGAACAGCAAGAGGGCGGGCAGGAGGATGAAGTTGACGATGACGATGGTGATTATGATGACGATGACGGTGACGACGACAATGTTGATGATGCTGATGATGATGATGATGACGATGATGATGCTGATGATGAGGAGGACGCAGATGATTATGATGATTATCATGGCTATGATGGCGAGTATAATGAGGATGATACTGGTGAGGGTGATGACGACGACGATGATGATGATGATGATGATGATGGTGATGAGGCTACTGCTGATGATGCTGATGATGACGATGGGAATGAGGATGATGATGATGATGATGATGATGATGATGATGATGATGCTGATACTGCAAATGATAATGCTAATGCTGATGCTGATGGCGCTGCTGAGGACGACGACGATGATGCTGCTGTTGATGGTTATGATGACAAATAGGGTGATGATGACGATGGTGATGGTGATGGTGATGGTGATGGTGATGGTGATGGTGATGGTGATGGTGATGGTGATGAGGATGATGATGATGATGATGATGATGATGATGATGACGATGAGTAGGAGGAGACGGATGAAGAGACGTGGGGGGAGTAGGAGACGGAGGAGGAGGATTTGGCAAGGCGTGGATCGCGCACAGGCAGCACCCTGTGGAGATCGCCCCACACGGGGACGCGCCGTTTCATGTTATGCGCTCCGTGCGAAAACGGATGGCGTCAACGAAGTGCGCTTCCATTCCTCGTTACAGCGAGGAGGCAAGGGAAGGGGAGGTATGGAGGGGGTGGGAGGGAGGGGAAGGGAGGGAGAGAGCCTCGGAGCGAGGTGAGGGCCCTAGAAGTGATGAGTGGTCGGCCATGAAAGCTCCGTGGCGGTCAAATCCATTCGTGAGGTGCAGGAGAAGGCGGAAGAGGGGGAGCAGGCAAGCTAGGTGCGTTAGCGTCATGTCTGACGTCCTGCCCCTCCCTCCTATCCCTTACCGTAGCGTGGCTACCCTCTCTATTCGCACAATCGGATTTCGAGCAGAGCAATGATCGCGAGAGGGTAGAGCACGGCATGGCATGGCGTCGAAGAGCACAGCAGAGCGCAGCATGCCATAGCATGGCGTGGCACTGCGCAGTGAAGAATTGCATCACAAAGCAATGCAACGCAAAGCATGGCATCGCACAGCGGCGCAGAACGCAACACCGCACAGCATGTCATGGCATGGCGCCAGGTTCCTTAGAGGGTAAGTGGATCGTCTTCGAGAGGTCTGGGCCAGCCTGGAGTCGTGGCTCCATGTCTAGCTCCTTGGGCCCCCCGGAAAGCTCCACACAAGGCGGAGCTGATGGAGAGCACCCGCTGGCTCTGCTTCCAACATCGCCTTCTCATAGCAGAAACGGGGCTCCCGTTTGATACTTTCTGAAAAAGACGGCACCCCAAAAGGGGGCTTCTGCGGCCCCAACAATCAACGAATCGACACCGAATGTGTAATCACTCCGATTGTTTTTTCGGGGGGCATTTTCTAGATTTTGGAGCCTACCTGGAAGGACCGAAAATGCCCGCGCTGCAGCGGGGGCACGATTTGGAACAACCAGAGGCGCGGAAATGGGGCCAACGCTTCAGCGGGAACAACATTTTGAACAAAAAACCTGAGCGAGAACCATTTCCCAGGAATCCCGTGTGTTAAAAACAATACGCGGAGGGGGGCCAGAGATCTTCCAGACGCCATCAGGGGAGAGAGGAGAGTAGTATTCATAGTGTGTAACTATAGAATGGGAGGATGGTGAGGATGGACTGGAGAATGAGGAGGAGAAGGAAACTAGGGGAGAGGCTGGAGAGAACCCCCCGAACCTCCCAGATATCCCCCAGAGGTTCCTAAGGTCCACTGTTGGTCCATAGCCCCATGTGCAGGATCTGAAGCGGTTCCGAATTGCCCCGGATCCATGATCTGGTTGTCCATCTCGGCCACCTTGAACGTCTCCTTCAGGATGACGCCTTTTCTTGTCGCTTTTCAGGGCGTCCACAAGAAGAGTGCGCAAGAGCAAGAGATGGGAGGGCACCACGCAAGCCCGAAAAAACGCACCGACCAACCTTTCATAACGCCCATTCGCGGGTGGACAGAACCCCCATTTTGCAAAATGCCCTTTTAGTGCAGCCTCCAGGGACACTCCACGTGCGCACGGCGCCGCCTTCTGAGTGGACCCCAGCGGGGTAGCTATTGCAGTATACGTCCATAAAGAAACGAATGTATCCGGCGAGACGCACGTCGAATAGCGAAACCGACTGCGGACTGCATCGGCACACTCGAATGCCAATGTCGAGTGAACCTTAGATGCAAGTTCTGGGGACCTTCCTGGAGCCACTCGCTACACTCATACGTCGATGTTACGTCGAACGTCCTTCGACTTGAGCCGAACTTGAGTCGAAATTGGATCGAGCTTGAGTCGAACTTGAGTAGAGGTAGAATCGAACTCGGTCGAACAAGAGTCGAACAGATCGGCTAGTCAGGTGGTCCCCAGGGAAGTCCCCGAAGCGAGCATCTAACGAACCCGTCTGGATGTCACCCGTCGACTTGTCTGGGTTGATGCTATGCCAGTGCCCGACCCCGCTCTCTAGCAGGCCGCCCCCCCCATCTCGCGTCGCACACTCGTGTGCGCCGCTACGGCCGCACAGAAAAACGTGTACGGCTGGACTCCCTCGCGGGAGCGTGCGGAGGCCGCGCCGCAGATGCGATCAGATACGCGTGGTGCAGAGGTCCGCAACATCCCGGCGACGCAAGAGGCCCCAGGCGCTTGAAATGCGCATGGCCACGCCTGGAACCTACAAGACTCGTCAACAATAAACAGACGACTTCTGTATTCGGTGTTTGTGGGGTCAGCGCTACTCCAATTCTGATGGATGCCTGTTGGCTCGGGCGCGGTGTTGCCCAAAAACCGACCCCACCCTCTCAACATTGAAGGGCGCGCTTTCTGACAAGTGCCCGAACGCATCGTGCTCCAGGATTTCACCTTCCATGTCTGGATAGTGTTGGCGAGGCTTGTAGTAGGCAGCCACATGTGCACCCTGCCCTTGCATGAAGAAGATGTCGTGCCCCCCTCCTCTCCCACCCCCTTTTTCCGCTCTCCGACGACGACAACGTGTCCCCCCTTCTTCCACGCCCTCGACAACCGAAGCAGATTTCGCACTCCCCCCTCCCAGCTTCCCAAGCGCCCGCGGCTCACAGCTTCCAACCACCTTGGTTGGAATGCTACTAGCCGCGGACATACCGCTTGCCGTGTTAGGTTGAGGTATGCCATTTGGGGACTGCAAACAACCCTTCTCCGAAGACGAAAACGTTCCCCCCCTCCTTCCATCCACGCCCCCTGGCAACCGAGGCGGGGCCCCTCGGCCAGGCAATGCCGCCGCTCGGCCATCCTGGCGTGAGACAGCGCGCGCGCGCTTGGAGAAAGCCAGGGCGCTGGAGCGCGTCGTCGTCGTGGTGGTGGTCGTCGTCGTCCTCCTCCTCCTCCTCCTCCTCTTCCTCCTCGTCCTTATAAATTTCCTCCATCCTTCCTCCCGCTCGGCTTGACGCGGCCCGCAGAGTCGGGACCGCGCGGCCGGCCGGGCCGCCCGGCTCGGCCCGTTCATTCCGCGGGCGGCCTCCGAGTGCCTGCCACGCGGCGACCCTCCCCGCGGCCGAGGGCGTGGAGGGTGACGCCCGACGCTATGCGGGGGGCGCCCGCCCTCCATTTCCTCGGGGAGGGGTCCCTCGGGCGGCCCCCCTATCACGTACCTGGCGGTGTGCCGCGCGAGGGCTGCCCCAGGCAGCCCCGTTGTGGTGAGCGGGTTGCTGCGCGGTGGGCACTCGGCCCGGAGCGGAGAGGCGCAGGGCGGCGCACCGGGCCTGGGGCGAGGGGGCGGGGCCGGGCCAGGGCGCCCCGGGGGCGGAGGCGGGGGCCGGGCCAGGAGGGCAAGACGGGGCCAGGGCGGCTGGGAGCCGAGGCCGAGGCCGGGCCAGGGAGGGCAGAGCGGGGCCAGGCGGGCCAAGGGCAAGCCGAATCCAAAAGTGACCACACCAGCGTTGGGTCGCTGTTGAAGTCGGCCCCGAAGGCGGGACAGGGCCCAGGGACGGGGGCCCAGGCCAAGGGCCGCAAGGCGGCCCAGGGGGGGCCGCGGCCCGCCCGGGTCAGGCGCACCCTGCGGCGCTTAGGGTGCCTGCCAGGCGGCCCGCCAGCGCGGGGGCGAGGCGGCCCCACGGAAGCCGCGGCGAAGCCCCAAGAGACTCGGGCCAGGGGCAACGGGGCCGGGCAGGGGGCGGGAGGTTGGACTCTGCACCTGTCCGCTCCGGCTGGACCTAATTACTGCTGCGCCTCCTGCAACGCAACCTCGAGGCGGTGCGCCTCCCGCGGCGACAGGCGGGCGGCTGGGGCGAGCGGCCGCCCGCGGGCTGCAGGGGGGCGCGGCCACGGCTGGGCCGGCCGTCTGAGGACCTGCGCCGCCCGCCCGCAGAAGCAGAGCAGGTGGGCTGCCGTCTCCTGCGACTGGCCGCAGAGGCGGCAGGGCCCGGCGCTCCCCGCCGCGTCGCATGCGAACGAGCCCTGCAAGCACAGGCGGGCCCACGCGCGCACCTCAGGGAGCGATGCGCCAGCCGCGCTGTGCTCGAGCGCCGTGTGGCCCGCGCCCGCCCCGCGCGCGAGTGCTTCCGTCTGCGCCGGGCTTGCCAGCCAGGACTGTTCCTGGCGCTGCGCCGCCTGCCTGACGAGGTCGCGGTACCGGGCACGGGCCCCCACCCCCTTGCGGCCCCGGCGGGTCCGGCAGGCCCCAGCGGTGCAAGAGTTGGCGGACCCGCTGCGTCCAGGAGCCCTCTGCCTGTGCTGCGATGCCCAGGACGCGCTTGGCCTCGGCATATCGGGGGTCCCCCTTGGCCTGTCTGTACAGCCGAATGGCGCGCTCCTCCATGGTCGTGGCCCAGCGGGCAGTCCATCCCATGTGGCGCAGGAGGAGGGCCCGCGGGATCGGCCCACGCACTCCAAGGGCCCCCCTGGCCCAGCGCTCCTGGAGGCGATTCAGGGTCGTTTGGGACCCCTCCACGTGGACGCAAAGCTCAGCCCCGTGCGCCGCCTTCGGGAGCGTGCTCGCGGTGAGGCCCAGGCTGAGCTCGTGGAGCGCGAAGCCGAGCTGGTCCATCGTCTGGGTGTGCCGCCGGCCCACCGCGAGTACGCGCTGCTCGATGGCCAGGAGGTGCGCCTGCCCAGGCGGCCCAACGGACCTGTGGACTCCGAGGCACCCACACCCGTCCACGAACCCGACGCCCTGGACGGGCCTGGTGTCTGCGAAGTCCCGGGCCGAGATGGCCGTCTTCGTCGGGACGTACCGGAGGTGTCCTCGGTGGCGGCGCGACGCCGTCTGCAGGGCGCGGACGAGAAGTCCGCACTGCGCCCGCGACCCGGCCTTGGCGCGGACGTAATCCACGAACGCGCGCGGCCCAATCCTCGTCTCGGAGAACGCGTCAAGCAGGCCCTGCCGGACGGCGTCGGAGGACGCCGCCGCCATGCAATCGTTCCAGTCCGCGTGGCCGTCCGCGAGGAGGGTCGCCCACTGGCTGATTTCGTCGACGTCCAGCGCCTCGGCGTCAGAGCCATCCCGATGGGCCCTGTAAGCCGCCACCGCGGCCGGCAGCGGGTCCAGCCCAAGGCCCACGCCCGGCGTGGCCGCAATCTCCTCGACCTCGGCCGCGTTGGCGAGGCTGTATTGGGCCGGGCTGAGCTTCCTGCCCTCCGGCATGCCGACCCGCGGCTTGAACGGCCGCGTGCACTGGCCGCGCCTGGTGACCGAGATGGCGGTGCCCCAGAGCATGGCCTCGGCCATGAGCCACAGCCGGCCGCCCACGCCCGCCCGGTTGTGCATCGCGACCATCGCCTCCGTGCGGTCCTGGCTGTCGAACGCCTCCGCCTCGTCGGCGAAGACATCTGCGATCGGCCAGCCTTGGTGCGCGCAGATGGCCCAGACCTCGAGGTCAAGGAGGCTGGAGACCGGGCTATCCGATCCTGCCTCTTGGATGTCCCCTCCTGCCTCTTGGATGTCCCCTCCTCCTCTTCCTCCTCCTCCTCCTCGCTTCCTCTTCCTTCTCCTCATTCTCCTCATTCTCCTCCTCCTCCTCCTCCTCCTCCTCCTCCTTCTCCTCCTCCTCCTCCTCCTCCTCCTCCTCCCTCCCTCCCCCCGAAAATCCCTGAATTCAGGATCCCAGAACACATGGATCACGATCCGACTGTTTCTCACCCGGGAACACTTGGATCGCGACCCAAGTGTTCCCTAACAAGGAACACTGGTCAGCCCCAGAGGACAGACTCGGGGAGGAGAGTCGGGGAGGAGAGTCGGGGAGGAGAGTCGGGGAGGAGAATCGGGGAGGAGAGTCGGGGAGGAGAGTCGCGGAGGAGAGTCGGGGAGGAAAGTCGCGGAGGAGAGTCGGGGAGGAGAGTCGGGGAGAAGAGTCGGGGAGGATAGTCGGGGAGGAGAGTCGGGGAGGATAGTCGGGGAGGAGACTCTGGGAGGAGAGTCGGGGAGGAGACTCTGGGAGGAGAATCAGGGAGGAGAGTCGTGGAGAAGAGATTAGAGATCGCACTCATCGGCACCCCTCTCCGCTGCTCCACACTCCTCCCTTCATCCCACTCCACGGCACTCCTCGCGACTCGAACTCCTCGGCACTACTCCGCACTCCTCGCTAGGCACTCCTCCACTCTTCTCCCTCGACACTCCTCGGCGCTCCTCCCTCGGCACTTCTCTCTCGGCACTCCTCCTTTGCACTCCTCCTGGGGACTCCTCGGCACCCCTCCTTCGGCACTCCTTCCTCGGCACTTCTACTCTGCCCTCCTCCTCGACACTCGTGGGCACTCTTCGGCAGGCACTCCTCGGCACTCGTCGTCGTCGTCGTCGTCGTCGTCGTCGTCGTCGTCGTCGTCGGTCGTCGTCCGTCAGTCATCGTCGCCGCAGCCGCCGCCGGCGTCGTCGTCGTCGTCGTTGGTCGTCGGCCTTCCTCCCCACCCATTCCCAGGCGTCGCCGCTGGGCGCGCCGCTCGCACCCCCCTGGCGAAGTTCACCATTGCAAGCTCTTGACGTCTCGCGTGCCCCCATCGTGGCCTCCCGTGGCTTCCACTCGCCTTCCCATTGTGGCCCCCAATGGTGACCCCCATCGTGGCCCCTATCATAATTCTGTACAAACTGTTTAGGGTGTTGTCCCGCACAAAAATACCAGATTCAGTCCGCATCTCTTGGGGAATCCCGATCGTGTCGAACGGCACGAGGAAGGTGAAGAGGAGGAGGGCGCAAACAAGAAAGGAGGAAGAAAGGAACGGACGATGACAAGGAGGATGAGAAGTC